CACATTGGAATACTACTCAGCCATAAAAAAGAATGAAAATTTTGCCATTTGCAGCAGCATGGATAGACTTGGAGGGAATTATACTAAGTGAAATAAGTCAGACAGAGAAAGATAAATACTAGATGATATCACTTATTTATTTTTTAAATTGAAGTATAGTTGATTTACAATGTTGTTAGTTTCTGGTGTATAGCATAGTGATTCAGTTTTATATACATATATTTGTCATATAATTTTTCATTATAGGTTATTACAATATATTGAATGTAGTTCCCTGTGCTATACAGTAGAAATTTGTTGTTTATCTATTTTATATATAGTAGTTTGTATCTACTAATCCCAAACTGCTATTTTATCCCTCCCTCCACTTTCCCCTTTGGTAACCAAAAGTTTGTTTTCTGTGTCTGTGAATCTCTGTAAATAATTTCATTTGTGTCATTTTTTTTAGATTCTACATATAAGTGATACATTATGATATTTGTCTTTCTCTGACTTACTTCACTTAGTATGATAATCTCTAGGTCCATCCATGTTGCTGCAAATGGCATTATTTCATTCTTTTTATGGCTGAGAATATGTCACATCTTTTTTATGGGAACATACATGTATTTGTTTTCATATTCTTTTTCATCATAAGTTGCTACAAGATACTGAATATAGTTCCCTGTGCTGTACAGTATAAACTTGTTGTTTATCTATTTTATACATATTAGTTAGTATGTGCAAATCTCAAGCTTCCAGTTTATCCCTTCCCACACACTTTCCACCCTGGTAACCATAAGTTTGTTTTCTATGTCTGTGAGTCTATTTCTGTTTTGTAAATAAGTTCATTTGTCTTTTAAAAAATTTTTAGATTCCACATATAAGTGACATTTTTCTTTCTATTTCTGGCTTACTTCACTTAGAATGACGATCTCCAGGTCCATTCATGTTGCTGCAAATGGCATTATTTTATTCTTGTTTATGGCTGACTAGTATTCCATTGTATAAATATACCACAGCTTCTTTCTCCAGTCATCTGTTGATGGACACTGAGGTGGTTTCCATGACTTAGCTATTGTAAATAGTGCTGCTATGAACATTTGGGTGCATGTATCTTTTTGAATTAGAGTTCCCTGTGGATATATGCCCAGGAGTGGGATTGCTGGATCACATAGTAAGTCTGTTTTCAGTTTTTTGAGGAATCTCTATACTGTTTTCCATAACGGCTGCATCAAACTACGTTCCCACCCGCAGTGTAGGAGGGTTCCCTCTCCTCCACACCTTCTCCAGCGTTTATCGTTTGTGGACTTTTTAATGATGGCCATTCTGAGTAGTGTAGAGTGATAGCTCATTGTAGTTTTGATTTGCATTTCACTGATAGTTAGCGATATTGAGCATCTTTTCATGTGCCTATTGGCCGCTGTATGATATCACTTATATGTGGAATCTAAAAACTACAAGAAACTATTGACTATAACAAAAAAGGAGACTCACAGGTATAGAGAATAAACTAGTGGTTACCAGAGGGGAGAAGAACGGGAGGAGGGGGTAATAGCAGTAGGGGAGTAAGAGGTACAAACTATTAGGCATAAAATAAGCTACAGGGATATCTTGAACAACATGGGGAATACAGCCAATATTTTATAATAACTATAAATGGAGTATAATCTTTAAAAATTGTGAATCACTATTTGTACACCTGTAACATAATATTGTACAGCTTTACTTAAATTTAAAAAATGAAATTTGAATCTCATATGTTTGTCACGTAACACAAAATCTTGTTATTCTTTTGGTCCCCCCCTGCTATTTAAAAATGAAAAAGACAATTTTTAGTTCATGAACGGTACAAAAACAGGCAGTGAGACAGATTTGGTACGTGGGCCACAGCTTGCTGACCCCGACTCAGACTTTAATACTTTCTTTAGATTCCCCCTTTTACTACTCGAAAAAATTCATTTGAAAAGGGAAACTTTACATCCCATCAGTGCCACTTAACATGAATGGGAGATGACCATAAAAATAGCACGAAAAAGCAAACTGGTATCATTAAATTTTCAGCAGGTCCAGCTCAAGGGTTCAAGCTTGGGGCCTGTTCTGGTTGAAAAGACACAAAGAGGTGTCGGGGACAAATAGAACAAGACAGACCTTCTCCTGTTCAAATTAAAAAAATATATATTTGGAAAAGGAGTGAATAAGAGGGTATCTCATTATACAGGTTAGTGTTTGATGCTGTATCCCGTATGGCTTCACGTCCTCTTGTGGGAGGTGTTCCTGATGTAACCTCAGAAATGCCAGCACCCTGCCTGACTGTGGGGCTGGGGACTGCTCATGGCAGCACGGGGTCCTGAATTCGAATTGAGGTCCCTGACTATCGACTACCGTGAGAGGGAAAACGCTGCCTCTGACCTGCCTGTGGGGCATGAGCCAACCTCTGTAAGTGTTTTGAAATCACTTAATGCCAAGTTGATGGCCAGTGCAGGGAATTATTATTGTTAATAAAATACTAAGCACAGTAATGGTGGTGAATTCAGGCTGATGAGATGTTGGTACTCAAAGGCCTCACAGCGTCTTTTAAAAAGCATTGCTAAATAATAATTAAAATTGTAATAAGGGTGAGTCAAGGACACGAAAACAGCGTAGGCCTGGTGGAAAAAGGCAACTGAGATAGCCCTGGGACCCCACCTGCCCGCTCCGAGCGGAGGCCTGCAGGAAGATAACAGAGTCGGACTGTTGGGGATTTTGAGGCCCCAAGTGAGATGATGGCTTTTGAAGTGGGGCCTCGTATTGGAGGTTCCTGGACCTCGGTAGCCTGATCTGAGAAATGTGGATACAATACTTTATGTGCAGGAAGGAGGGGGCTGGACCAGATGAGCCCCTTAGGTCCTGTTCCAGTGCCGCCAGCTCTTACCTGATGTGAGTCTCAAATCCTGGTGCCCTGGTCATCTCAGTAGCCAGGTGTTCCTCGACTGGGAGAAAATATTTAACTCAGAGGTTGCAGACTTGCTATGTGGGGACCAAATCTGGCCCTTCGATAGGTTTTCTCCAACTGGTAAAGTTGAAGTTTAAAAACCAACCTTTGGGATTCATTACATATTATAAAGTAATAGAAATAGAAACACGCACTGGACACAATTAAATAGCTCAGTGAACTGTCACTTAGCAAACAGCTGGGTAACCACCACCCAGGCCAAGAGACAGAGCACAGCTTGGCAGGCCCTCCAGGCCCCTCGTGTCTCCTCCAACCACCTGACATCATTGAAAACAAATTTTTAGTTTGATCATGTGAGACCGTTTTTTTTTCCTGACACTATTACTGACCCCAGATTGTGGGTTTTTTTTTTTCACACCAATTCTGTAATTCTCCAACACCAAATAATGGTCCAAAAGCTCTGACACTATTTGGAGTTAGCACAGATCCCACAAGTTAAGGGCTCAGTCCCATAAGACTACCCTCCCACCCCCACTTCAGAAGCCAGTGACAAGTCCCGGGGGCCACCTGTACTTCTGTCCAACCGGCAATAAACCCAAATCCCGTGAGCCCCTCCTTAGGTTTGGTAATTCACCAGAACAGCTCACAGAGCTCAGGAAAACACTTGACTTACTTTTACGGTTTGTTTTAAAGGGCACAACACAGGAACAGCCAAATGGGAGAGAAAGATGCACAGGGCAGGGTATGAACATGGGGTGGTGGGCATGAAACTTCGTTGGCCCCTCAGCGGCACCACCCTCCAGCACCTCAATGTGTTCACCAACTCAGAAGTTCTCTGAACATGCCATTTAGGGGTTTTTACGGAGTTTCATTATTGAGGCATGATGGATTACGTCACTGGCCATCGGGGACTGAACTCATCCTCCTGCTCCGCTCTCTTCTCTAAAGCTTGGGGAGGGGAGGCTGAAATCCCAACGCTCTAATCTTTCTGGCCACCAGCCCCCATCCTAAAACTGTCTAGGGCTCCCCCCTCCATGAATCATCTCATTACCGTACAAAAGACAGTAAACTAGAAACAGTTTCAGAAGCTCTGTATCAGAAACCAGGAACTGTGGACAAAGACCAAGTGTTTATTTTTTATTATACCACAGAGCATCTTCAAGCAGGGGCAGGAATACTCCACTTTGCCGCAGACCCTCCCACCCCCTGTTGTCTTACACTGCCCCAGATTTGTGTTGCCTACTCAGTGTCTGTAGGTATTTGAAGTGGTGATTGCTGCTTAATAGATGCTCTTTGTCTTAATAATAATACAAATAGTAGATTTCATCCTCATCATAATATAATAATAATAATAATAATAA